TTTCCATATCTCTGGCCCCCCCAGCTCGATTTTGACATGTGACATCTCTTTCTGACCGTTAGAGCCAATAGAATCGAAGGGAAATCGTCCCGCACACACTCATGTTAAAAAGAAAAGGTGGCGTCTTTGCAATTGCAGTCTTGCCACAGAGCGTAGGATCTCCCTGCTCTGATATTTGAAAACAGAATTGCACTTTTATTGCTTATAGATTGAAGACCAGTTTTGACCATACAAAACCAAGGTAAGCCATGTTAGTGTTTTAGGCTACCTAGCGCCACATGTTTTGATGTACGTTTTTGTTGATAACGTCGCAAGTTTGTATCTTTCAGTGTTGAGGTGGGCACTGTTAGATTCTGTGTCTTTACGATCATAAACGATGTGTTGGATGTGCAGCTAGGATAAGTAATAAGGTAGCTAGGAGTGATTTTCTGTGCAGTAATAGGTTAGCATTTTTCGCTCTGGGCTAATTCAGAGGGTCACTGTTACCATTGTGTGTTTTTTTTTGAAAAAAAAATGAAAAAGATCAGTTAAATTAGTTTATTCCCGTTATATGGATATCAAATATTCATAGTTTATTCAATATTAAGGTTCCTTAGACGTTGTTTCCTGCAAATGACGCGATTTCGGCCCCGGAACCGGGTCCGTGGGGCTTAAGAGGTTTTAATCTATATAGCCTACATATTTTAGTATAACCATTCATGCACATCACATACAGAATACATTTTTTACATAACCTTTCATCTGTTTGAACTGGATTGACATTGAGTTCTAATCCTCTACCAATGCACCAAGGTGTGCATATACTGTATGTTCAATCTTAATTTACATGAATGATACAACCAGATCAGCATCTCATTTAATAGCCTCTTATGCAGGGGGGTCCAAGCTGTTTTCACAGAGGGCCACATAGAGAAAAAGCACTCACCACTCACTAGAGGTACAGTTAGCAAATCAATCAGAAGTAGGTAAAGTATGCTTGATAATTGATTATGCTTAAAGAAAACACAAAACAAGCTGGATCTTTGCCTTTGTAGGCTCTTGTTCAGTTTGTTAAGATGATCAGTAAGATAAAAAAAATGCCAAGTCTGCCAACCATAGAGGGTCGGTCAGCTCATGAAGAGGTTGGTCCAATTCTTTCAAAAACGGGTCGAATTTCTGATCTCAGGGAATAAAACCGCTCCAGCATGGAGCCATGACTCAGCCAGCTCACATCCGAATGGTACAGTTGGTCCCCGAATTCAGCATCAACATCAGGTAGGAACTATTGAATTGACTCTTTTAGAGCCCTCATGCTCGAATTATGTTGACAGTTTTCACAACATTGTTCATCTCATTGCCGAGATGGACAGTCTCTGCTCAGACGGCTTCTTGGTGGATGATAGAGTGCATTTTGACAGCCTCACCTCCACTGCACCTTTGCGCACACCTTAAAGGTTCTTCCTTTGCGCTCGCCTGTCATAGCTGGAGCCCCGTCCGTTGTAATTCCACACAGTTTTTCCTTTTATAGTCCTTTCTCGTTAAAAATTGAAGGATTATTTGAATTATTTGAAGTATTAAAGTAACGTGTTATGGCAGGAAAGTTAAATCTGGTATATTCATTTTAATGTCACCTTATATATATTCATGTGTGTTAAATTTGAAGGGACAAAGTATATTTTCCCTCCCCAATATATTGAGGTGAAGTCTTTGTGTTTAGAGAAGGATGGGAGCAGGGGACATCCTAATTTGGGGATAGCTCCAAGACTCTGGAATGTTTCCCTCATAAAAGAAGAGGGTGCGTTACACATGCTTGGGGCAAATAGGTGTGTTTTCATTGCAGTAAAAATATATGTGCTACATGATTACTGTTCAATTATACCTCTGTTCTTATTCTTTCATGTGTGGGTACTAAATGGCTACAAACATTGTGGAGAAATTAGCTTAAACATGTTTTATTACTCTACACCAAATGGAAGCAGCTTTTATGACAGGGACGAGAGAGCTGGGGGAGGGGACATTCTTCCNTAAAAACAACATCCGGATGACCGGATCTACAATATAAATTTCGTGGAACCGAAACAAGACTTACGTGCCCATTCGGCCCCCCAGAAGCCCCCTGTCCCTACCATCGGCGTGACTACTGGTCCCGCCTTCCCAGGCCCAGACTCGGCCTTTGTACCGAACCATTAGTCAATACAGCCGCGCGCCATTGGAGCACCCAACCCGGCCGAGCCTCGCCTTTGTCTTTTCTTATCAGACGCACGCAGCGTCCGAGGACACACTCGGCCTTATATACCTGACAATGACATACGTAAGACTCTGTGCCTTGACCTCGCCTTGGACTACGCATTCCAGGCAGTACTCTAGGCCATTAATTCAGCCACATTCTCGGAGGACGAGACCCTCGGCCTTTGTACCGAGAGACTCTAAGAGCCAGGCCTTCAACAACAACAAATGCACCTATACATTTGGTAACCTAACGTGTTGTTGTGATGACGTAATCAAAACGCGGCGACAAACACGGCGCGCGACCATGCTCGCGGCTGGCTCACAGCCAACATGTCTGCCGCTTGGAGATATTTCAAACTATCAGAGAGAGAGGCGCGGATTGCGATTTGTAAAACGTGTTCAGTTGACATTTCTCGAGGGGGTGTAACTGCAAAGACTTTCACCACTTCGGGATTACTCCACCACTTGAAATCAAATCACCCGGACAAATATGCGGAGTATGATCAACGTAACCCTGTTCTCTGACATTCGGTGATATTTTTTCGGTGCTAAAACCCTTTCGGCTTTCTAACCATTTTCGGCCGATAATTTTCGGTGGCCGAATATTCGGTGCATCCCTAGAGAAAAGGATGAGAGGAAAACAGGTTACATTGAAACAACACATGTGGTAGCTCCACACATGTTTTAACATGAAAAGCGAGGAGACAGTTTCATGGAGCTGAGTGACTCACACTTAAAGAATGGCGCGACACAACAAAAATGGCCTTGGTGATGAAAAGAGCATTATAATAATATGTGTCAAGGTTTATCATGACACACACATTGTTGGCCATTGAATCATTCCATCAGCCAGTTTAGTTGTATCAGGAGAATCTGCACTTAACAAACGGTCCACAACAAACAAGCAGATAAATTAAAGTACAGATTCAAAGAAAACAGGTTAAAATAAAAGTGCCAAAATCTATGGATCTACAAGGTGTGCATCAGACAGTAAACACGTTCAAACTGCAAACTCATTGTTTGCTGGTTTGAAGTAATGGTTGTTTCCAGTCAAATAAATTCATGGCTGCAAGACAGTATTACATGTGAACACTTCAAGGCAAATGTTTGAGGTGAAATGGATGATAAATGACTTGACCTTGTGATACAGAGAGACAGCTGGAAATTCAACAAATAGGTTGTTCACAGTAAGTAGCCTATCTCTCTTTTTGCACCTATTGTAAAGTTTAAGAGTTAATCATCCTTACATAAACACGTTTAGGGGTTACCATGCTTTGCATTTTTGGAACATTCTGTAGATTCTTCCATGCAATAGGTGCGAAAAAAAAAGGAAAACACATTCTTTACTCAATCTGTCCTGACTTTGGAAACGCCATTTTCAATATTTTGAAAAAAAAAATATAGAAGATAAGTAGCTAGCTAGAAAAGCTTTGGAAATAAAAAAATATCAGTGTCTGAGGCACCTATTAAAACTGAACTACCTTAAGGGTAAGCACAAACAATTACAGGGCTGTATATTTACACTACAGAATACAATTATTCCCAGATCCATCCGAGTGTTCCCCTAAGTGTATTAGCTGTGCAGTGGGATTAGCAATTCTGTAAACTGACAATGTGTCAAATAAATTGTATAGATCTACTGTATGTACATCATAAATTAAAGTAAGTATTTCCGTTAAAACTTATATCACTATCTGGCCGGCAGCTGCTCTATCCTCAGGACAGGATTGACACACAAGTTGGGTTTACACATGAACTGATGGCATTTTGATTCATTATTAAAAAGGAAAGTATTCAAGCAAGTGACCAATTTGCCTAAATTCAAATTAATTAGTCCAACCCTTAGTAAGGATCACACCCTGCAATTAAACTTCCTCTTATTCTGACAAAGAAATGATGGGAAGGGCAGGGAAGCCAGATGAATCTAATGTAGGATCCTGAACTCTCTGTACACAAGATGTAAAGAGTGGTAAACGGTATTGATACACACAGGCACCAGAATCACAGTGCATTCACTTGTGATACTGAAGCTGGCGTTAGTTCCTTTCTTGCAGACTATTAAATGTCTCATTGATATTGAAATGTCTATAAGATAACATAGGTCTGTGTTGTAAATACTAATAATGTGGTATTTTGCGTACAATGTTAAACACGTTAACTAAACTATTTTCTTGCTGTGTATGGCAATTTTAAAAGCATTTTTTTATTATTTTAATATTGAGTTGTTTTAATTTGATGTTGTTTTAAAAAATATTTTAAATGTATTAGATTGTTACATTTATTGGTTGTTGACGTCCCTTTGCCTCAGAGTGATTGAAGTTCCTCCCAGCTGTTGTTTGAGGGGGACAGTTGTGATTGTAACAACAAGGCCTCATCTTAAAACTAAAGTCAGGTGTTAAATGTCCTGCTGTTATTGTTGACTTAAGAAAATGTATTTGAATAGAAGAGTTTATTTTGCATGTGTGAATGTGTCGTATTGTAATATATCATTTTTTGATAATATTGTGATTACACAGCTCTCAAACACACTTTCTGTGGTTATTAATAAAGTACAAGACCCGGTGCAACTGCTCTGATCCAATACACTGCATTACTACATGGAGAAGTACCGTCTTTATTAAATAGAACAAATATTAATTCTGAAATGACTACACAATTCTACAATCAGTCGCTTTCAGGAAGTCATGATTCAGGTTTTCAATGACATCCCTTTCCCAAGTTTGTTTACCATATATATGTTTCATACAAAACAGAGTATGTAAAACAGGAAGTAATGCTATTGATTCAGTATTGTTAAGTTTCTCGACAGTAAATAAGAAGTGGATTTGCCATGACGAGAGAAAACTGCTGGATCTGTGCAGCCCTTCTTTAGGATAACTGCCTGGACTACATGCACTGTTGATGACCTGCATTTCATTTATAAGCTGTACAACCTCCATAATAAAAGGCAAAACAATGTAACCAGATTGTATGGTGGTGCTGTGGTCTGTCTGTAATTGTGTTAGTTTGCATGCTGACCTTCTGTATCCTTTATACAGTTGTTTTTCTTATCACAAACTTGATCTTTCCTGCATGCTAATGGCTGGGCGGTGTGCATGGGTGTGTCCTGTTCAACACCAGGACATTTCCAGCATTAAAAGCAGCATATCCTTCTATAGTGGCAGGCCTGCCGTCTGCTTCTTTTAGGCTTTCAAATGGGTAACATTATTTGCTACAACAAATGAAATATTTCTCGAGTGCTTACGTCGTTCAGCAAGCGATTTTATTGATTGTGAAGTAGGAAGGGACCTCAGAGGGAGGACACGTCCCCTCAATGGAGCAGCACTAAAAACTAAATGTATCCGGACACAAACAAACAAAAAAAACATAAAAACACATCGCATTTCTTGGCTCTGGTGAATCTGATAGTGTTTATCGTCTAACCTTGTGGAGGAGATCTGGAAGAGGCCTTACCTTTCCGCCGCTCACTGCCCAGAAACTTCACTCCTCACTGGTGAGTTACCTGAAGCACGCAGGTGTTTTCAGGAAGATCTCACGAGAAAAGAGGAAGACGACATAGACGCGAAAAACCGACGCCCTGTTCAACTGAGATTTTAAATAAAAAATCGCTCTATTCATAAATAAAAGGTTAGCCGCTACAGGTAAGAATGTTTTAAGAAGAACTTTGTTCAAATTCCATTCGTAGTGAAACCTCCCTCCCCTGGTTGTACCGACGGTCTGTCCCCTGCATGGTCCTAGCGCCGCCCCTAAACCTCCTCTGGGGACAGGTGAGTGAGAAAAGGACACACCCGGAAACAGAACAATTAAACAATATATTACAACAAAACAAAGATAAGGTAGTTAGTCAACACTTTAATGTTATGTATGACTTAATTTCATTGAGAATATTTCTAAAATAAACAATTATTATTATCTTATTTTTTTGCAGTGATTATTTTTTTCAGATATTTATAAGTCCATCTATTGCTTTTTTTAATGCAATAGTCCATTATATACAACATATCTAAAATATTCCAGAAGTCTTCAACCAGCTTCTTTTGTTTGACCATATATCATATCAGATACATAAATGCAGCCAATCCTCACTATTGAGAAGGTAGAAACTGGCAATTTTCAGAATTTTGGTTGACAATCACTTAAACTATCAACCACTTTTTCTCTTAGGAGTATTGTTACAATTGTATTAAATCCAAATTAAAGGCCGCCTTGGCTTTGCAAACTTTTTCCTTTATTGTGTAGTAGAAAAATCAGTAGAAAAATCAACTATTATAACGTGTTTTGGTCTTAGGTATTCAGCTCATATTATTTATAGTAGGCCGGGAGTTGTATCTTCACGAGCAAAAAGAGTACACAGCTCACAAAAACAGTAGCTGTGGCTTCACATCAGATCGATGGTCTCACACAATCTTCATCAGCGGATGAAGTTTTTGTGGAGATAAATATGCTCAATCTCCCTTTTTTATTTCATTTCAACATGTACAGTATACAAATTATTGCATTTTTTTTTTTTAACACAAACCACATCTGCTGAGAAGGAAGGTGGGATACTATAAAAAGCTGGATATTAGCAGATTTTTTGTGGTGAGAATGATTTTGTCAATTGCTGTTACCAAATACAATAAATATAAGCTTTTATCAATGAAAATGTGACATGATAAAAGTTGTATTTGTTGTAATTTAACAGAGGCTAATCTAGGTTATGATTTTAGGCATGAGCATAACTATAGGTCCCCCTATCCCATAGAGATCAGGGGACCAAATGGTTTTGGGTTTAATGCCTTAACTGTGGCTGTTAATCATTGAACTATGTTCTGGCTATCATGAGGTTTTTTGTGTGTGCAAAAGGTTCCTTTATATTTGTTTTTGGTGTCGTTTAATTAAAGGTATCCTTGATATGGTTCTTTAAGGTGTGACTGCGTCTCAGACTCACTTAAAGGTTAAACAATCATTCAATCCTATGTGAACAAAATGAAAAACGTATTTTTGATGCAATAATAAAGTCAAAATCTTTTCAAAAAGCTATGTGACTAACATGACTCTTGGTCACTTTCGGCCATGTTTCTGAAATAGCCCTATCTGCACTACAAATCCATGTCACTTCAACATTTTCATAGGATAATGAATCCCTTGGTTAATGTTTATGAGAGACTTAAATGAAGTTGTCTTGAAAAATAACAACGACAGGGCTGTGATAGATAAGTTGACCATCATTTCAGCTTTAATGTCGACGTACATGAAATCTCTGACAGCTGGGGAAGCTAAACATCATAGCAAACACCATTTGACTTTCCTTCTGTTTCCATACAGGTTTGAACTGGTCTAATCTTCCCGCTTATACAAGTTTGCCCAGAAAGTCACAGAAAACCTGTTTTCTATTTGTATATTTCACACGTGAGTTTTCATGCTCAGGAAGAAACGTTACTGTGTGTTGTAAAACATGATTAAACCTTACAAAATATACCATTACATTCTCTCTATTTACTTTATCATATAAGTCACAGAATTCCCTTTCTTCAGTGCTCATACAGTATAAACATGTATCAATTGCTTAAATCTTTACACATTATCACTTTCATAACTCAACATTCAACCGTGTGTTTCATCTATACTGCGGGATGTTCATTTACATTCAATGAAAATCAAAAGAAAAGCTGTTCTTTAATTAAAGAAAACATACTGTAAGAAAAATATGGATTTTTACCAGTTTTAACATTCCAAAATATAAAAAATGGACTACTATTTGTTGCAGTATTAATAACATTTATGATTACAGATAACGCCTCAGTGTTGGGCTTCTGACTGCACAGTGCACACACAGTTCATGTCTCCTCAGAAGAATAACAGAGGATATGTATCTCTACCGTAAAATGTGTCTTTTTTTCACTACATCTCACGTATTATTTTTCATTTAATGTAAGAAGTAGTTAGAGCAGGACACAACAGTGCTGTGAGACCTGTTTGTATAAGGCATCAAAGAAGAACAACACTGTTTTCAGCTATTTTTGGAGGTTATTCAAAATGTAAGCCTTCTATAAACTTGTCATAAGAAACTCATCCAGACATTTAGTTGGAAATCTAACAAACTAAATTATCTGCCTCTTCCTTATATTTACAACTATCAGGTCAAAATGATCTTTGTTTCTATTCAAGTTTTGTTTTTATATTGGACAAAATAATAATATATTGGAATTATTAAGGGGTACATCCCTTTTAAGACTTCATCTTTAAAGTCCAACGATGCCGAGTGTAGGTCACTCTCAGTAGAAAACAACTATAATACAATAACAATGTAAACAATGGTAACAGTGTGAGCGATCTGGATGGCTGATCACACGTTGGTGATTTCTACACTCTTGAAGGTGTGCATGGGGCTGCCTCTGGCCCGCGGGACGGCCTGGACCCGGGCCTCTCGGGGCGGGGAGCCGCAGCCGCCGTGGAAGCCCAGACCGCGCTCCACAGAGTGGCTGCTAGCACGTAACCTCAGCGGACTCTGGGAAAACAAAAGGGACATTAAACAAAATGTGGATTTTATTTCTCAAAGTCAGAAATCAAATCAAAAAAATAATCAAATCCACATATTGTCAGTTAAATAGAAGTGAGACTGTCTAAAAACGAACACTACATTGCAGACTACTCACTAATGTGGATACATAAATACAGTCATAGTCTTTTAATCACTCGACACGTACTTCTTTTATATCCATATTGTTAAATCATGCTGCGACAAACAATTCACATTTCCTAGATTTGTCACCTTTCCAAACCTTGAAACATTTTTACTTCCCCCCCTTTTCGAAATCCCATTGTCAACATCAACTCCCATGAGGGAAAACATCCTACATGAGGAAGGAACTTTCTCTCAAAACTTAGATTTTTTTCTGTATTCATGCATGTGTTGTTTGGGAGGAAATTGCAGCTGCTAAAGGTGCATTAAAACAAAACTGAACAAATATATATTTGTATATGTATGCACAATATCTGCTCCTATAATATGATTTGATTGTGAAATGAAATGATACCTTGCCTGATCTTCTCATCGACACCCTCTCCTCAGCAAAGCGCTTTACAGCAACAGGTGAGGAAGAAGTGATCACTTCACTGCCCTGCTCTGCACTGCTGTGAATACAAGGAATTACAAATGAATGTATTTACATGATGTTTAAATGTAATCCTTAGATAATAACATGATTTTCACAGGGTTACAAGATCCTGGTATTTTTGAAGACAGCTGGAATGGATATATGTTTTATGGCATAGAGCACAATCACATGTTGATTTAAAAGAGTAGAACAAAGAGTAAACATTATGCACCAACACAGGGTTTTAATCTACCTGTTAGGGACGGCGAGGGATTTCATCTCCTCGTACAGGTGCCGATGCAGCATGTGCTTGTTGCTGGGGATCCCAATAGCTTTTGCCATGGCGTTTGAGTCAAAGGACGGGTCCAGAACCATCACAGCTCCATGAATCCCTTTACCCTGAAGATTGTCTGCAAACTCCTGAGGAGCACATAGAGAACCCACACACAGACGTCAGACTTTACATACAGTCCTGCAGGAAACAATACTGGTAGAAAGGTCACATTATATCGCAAATATCAGCCAACCATAGTCATGGCCGAGCTAAAACAAAATGTTTTGTTTGTTGCCAGGGGCACAGAAATATATTGTTTTACTTTCAAGAGCTAAAAGTTAACAAAAAATAAGCTGGTCATAACAAGAATAATGAGTGTCTAATGATGGGTAAAAAAAACCTCATTGTGAATCCAGAATGATTTTTTGCAATTTTCTCTATTGTGTTTTCCTCTGTATTGTTTAAGCAGTGATGTGGCAACACAAGAGGGTGGTATCTGCATCCAATTGCAATCTGCAATGGGAGATACCGTCCCTGACCTACCACCCACCTTGAGGTCTATGTCTCTGATCCACTTCATTACTCTGTGACTCGTCCAAACAATGGGCTCTCGGTCTTGGTCCTCACATTTTGCCCGCTGTGCCTGCAGGGCCTGCAACAAGACAACATCATTTAATGCCCAAGCTCTTGTGTGGCTGTGTCTGAAGACATACAGAATGAGGTCATGGTAGGATGAAGGCTGCGGAGATCATGCACTCAAGCTACAGGTCTGGTGGATAATAATGAAAATCATGTGTAGTTTTTTGAGGGTAGTCGAGGAACTATCAATACATTTCTTCTCATCTCATGAGAATTTTGTTGAATAATCTGACCTCTTTATCAAAGTTGAGTATCTGCAAGAGCTGGATAGCCAGGAGGAGACTGGTCTGGTGGAACTGGTCACTGATGTTGAGTAATCTCTCCAGGTCTCTGCGGCTCAGAGAGTTCAGCACCCGGCCGTCCACCAGATGGGTCTGAAAGGTCTGCGAGTACTGAGGCAACCCCACGTCATTCAGCCACGATGTGGCAACCCAGTGATGGTCCAACTCAGACGCTTTGGATAGCCTGGAAGATGATTAGACACCACAAAAGATGGTAGAACATTTAATATAATGTACTGAAGTGAAAGGAGCAACACAACACTGTGAAAAAACCCCTGACAAGGTTAAGTCGTGAATTACAAATATCATAAGCTAAATATAATTACAGTCTCAAACAAGTGCCAATGATGCTTACAAATGGTCTCTGATGTTATACTATTAAATATGATATTGATTTTACTAATAATTTAATAATAATAATAATAATAATAATAATAATGGATTAATTTTGTTAGCGCTTTTACAGGTGCTCAAAGTCGCTTTACAGAGATAGTGAAAAGAAAAGAACAACAAATAAATATAGTTGAAGTCAAATTTAAACCAAGCAATATAACAACAATCACAGATTAAAAGCCAGATTGAAGAGGTGAGTTTTTGTAAGTTTTTTGAAGGTGGTGAGGTCGGTACAGTCTCTGATGGGTTGTGGGAGTGGGTTCCAGAGGGAGGGGGCAGCGACGGAGAAGGCTCTGTCCCCCCAGGTCCGGTGATTGGTGCGGGTGGGGATGGATAGGAGGTTGGCTTCTGATGAGCGGAGGCAGTGGGAAGGGGTGTGGTGGTGCAGCAGGTCTGTGAGGTAGGGGGGGGCCTGGTTGTTGAGGGCTTTGTGAGTAATGAGGAGGACTTTGAAGTTGATTCTTTGACAAACGGGGAGCCAGTGGAGTTTCTGGAGGAGGGGAGTGTTGTGGTCTCGGGAGCGGGTGTGGGTGACTATGCCCGCCATATGTTCTACAACATACAACATTATGTTGTAGAATTTAAACTATTTTATATGATGAAGTTAGGTTAATTATATTTAAATATCTATTGTACACAGTAAAGCTGTCAGATAAATCCAGAGGAACAAAAAGGACAATATTTAAATCTGGATTGTAATGGAGTAGAAGTATGAAGTAGTATGTAAAGACAATGCCCACATCCTTAATTACAGTACTTTATTAAATCTACTTTCAAAACTTTTTATACAACAACTAAATGTTTTTCAGTGTTTAATTTGTTGCAGCTCACCCTTGGTCTCCTTCAGCTCTCCTGTAGTCCTCAATGGCCAGCCTCAGTTTTCTGCGATGAATTGGGTTACTGATACCCAGACCCAGCTCCAGGTCCTCATCTGTCAGGCCTAGCAGCACCTAAAGAGCACAAATACAGGTCTTCATCAAACAAGAACAGCCTGATACCGCACTCTCAACCACAAAGCAAACAAAAGACACTTTTACCAAAGGCGTACCTTGCCACTTTTGACGTTTTCAGAGCAGGCTCGGATGTACATGGGCATCCCCATGACAACCTCCAGCCAGGCCTGCACTGCACCTGCCCTCCACTGCGACATGCATGTGTTTCTGGTGAGCTCGGCCTGCTGGAGGCGGTCCAGCTGCTCCTCTCCGTCAGACAGGCTCTGCTGTGTGAGGCTGTCAGAGTCTGGATCGGTCAGGAGAAGTTATGGTGTGGCATACAGGAGGGGTTCAGGGTCAGAGGGATATGGAAATCAAAAGAAGTGACTCTTCTGGAGAAGGGTTAACATCAAAATCAGTGGGTGTTTACATAAAAAAGACACCCACTTCAAGGTGTAACGATAGAGCCGCAAAATCCTTGCTACGGTAAGATATTAGAATCTCTTGTCCACAGGCATTTGGATTTCTGCCTTCTGCTTGAGTTTATTTATTGGTCAGAGTAAACTGGATGAAAAGTAGTTTAAACCGTTTTTAAATATGTGTTAAATGCCACCAAATTGCCACTAGGTGGAGCCAGAATAATTCTTTGAAACTTCACTTCCTGTGTCTTTGAATGACTCTTGTGTATTTTGAATAAGCTTACCAACTAAGGCATCACATAAACAAAACGATATAGTTGTGTCCATCTAAACCTGAAGTCCATATGCAATACAACCCATTTAGATTTTTCATGAGAGCGTAGGGGTCCAGTGAGTTCTATAACAAGTTTAGTGAAGTTGTTAAAATACTATGTAACAAAAGTAACTATCTGATGATTATGAAGAGACTTTAGACCATTCGGAGAATGTATTAGAGACACAGGGATTATTCATATAACATCATGCTCCTGCCCATTAACCACCTTTCTCAACAGCAGGAAAACACTGATTCATACTGAACCAACAAATCCAGGATGAACTCTGCGTGTTTACCTGACTCTTCTCCACATGCTGACAGAAACGCTGCATGCAAAGTCCACCGCTTCTTTTATTTAAAGAGAAATGATACAAACTGGATCTTTTTTTTTCAATGGACCTGAGTGATATGAATAATCCCCAGAGTGCAGAACAGACAGCAGGTATTCACAGATGGGGAGTTACTCACGGGCGGGAGAGAGCTGCCATTAGAAATGGCAGGAGGAGAGGGAGAGACACATTAGACTGGGACACAAGAACAAGATTACTCATGGAACAGAAAACTGCCACATAGGATGTATTCAGTTACTAGTTTTATTTTTAAAATAAGATTTCATTTCAATTATAATTCATTTTTGTAAATGCTAAAACCTCCTCGACATCTGGCTGCAACAGCTGCAGCAGATAAATATTTGAAGTTACCTCTACTTTTTGTCTTTTTAAATAAAATACTTCAATAGATTTAATCTTTTATGCAACATCTCCTAAATTACAAAGCATTTAACATAGAATTATTAGAGCCACATTTGCATAAATGAGGAGGGATTCTACACAAAGCAACAACAGAAAAAGGCCAAAGGGACCGTGCATTCATAATGCAAGGAGAGATAACTCAGCTAAGGGGAAAGGTAACACAGGAGCAACACAGGGTTGTGGATATTATTAATTTGATTGGGAATGAATGGACATCTAATCAAAGCAACAAAGAGGGATCATGCAGGTGTGTAATGCACATTCCTTCGTCTTATATTGGCATGTTAGATAGCGCTCAGTAAGATATGAGTCAGACATAAACAATAATAGGCTAGTGCTAACAGTGACAGAATGATACGCAGGTCTTCTAAAGATGACTGTTTAACCTTTGGCACTTGCACATGTGTTTCTACTGCAGTGCATAGCAGAGGTGTGCCTGACTAAGCATCACTGTTCATATTTTGTTTTTGCATTCAGGTCCGGGCAACTATATTTTTTAAGGATGTTTGCCCTTTAAACCCTTGGCCAGTTGTTATTTATAGGAACTGATAATATGATGTTAATCATAACATTGAAAAGGAAACCTTCACAAAAAAAATCCCTGCCACCCACATATATTTAAATACTGTGAGCCAGCATTTATAAAAAAAATCTTGATAGCAACAATGTACCAGCAAAGCCTCTCAAACTAAGTATTATTTTTAATAAAACCACAGACTTTGGTCAATTATAACTCCAAGTGATGAATTTCTTTTGAAGCCAATCAGGTAATATCTCTTTCATAATAAGAAATAGGCCAAGAGTGGTAATAAGAAGAACATTAGATATCAATGTAGCAAAGCATAAAAAAAGCAACCGTAAAGTAACAAAAGCCAGATGACACTTACATTAAAAACACTAGATTCACAATAACTCCTACAGTATTTACATATGAACAGCAGTCCTTCAAGTCTCCAGTTATAAAAAAACAAAACATTAAAGACATTTGGAAGATAATACAGCATTAACATGTCTACACATAATAGTAACCCCATGTATATATTTATACGCATGTAAACATATATACATATGCATACATGTACATCTATAAATATATATCTAATTTACAAACATACAATTTAAGGGTGATATACTGTACATTTAAGGGGATAGCAGTCTCTTTCAGGCTTCTCTTTTAAAATGTACCCGCCTCACCTTCACACACAAACACTCTTTACACACAGTTAAAGCCAGGTGGATATCCACACAAATTTAACACACACACACACACGCAGGTTCACACACGCAGGCTCACACACTCAGCATCACCAGTCGGCATCCTCCTCTATGTAATAATCAGGGGTGGCTGTACCATCAAACAGGCCGGGTTCCAGTGACTTGCGCTGCTTGCCTCGAGCGAAAACCCGTGACAGAGATCCCAGAGTCATCTTCTCCTTCTTCTTCTTACGCTTCTGGTCCTCCAGATCCTCCATGGACTGAACGGGGCAGAGCACACAGGAAGCTTGAATCTGTCCTCTCATACAGAGTTAAAGAAATACTTTGACATTTTGGGAAATGTGCTTATTCATGTTATTACTGGTTGAATAAATGATTACTGTACAGTAAATATGAAGCTACTGTCAGCAGCTAACAGTGGATTGGCCAGGAGCAGGGCAAGCAGTGTAAGTCATATTAGCTAGGTTGCTATGTCTTACGTTGTTCCATTTGCTTTACGTTCGGCTGTGTATACAAAGTTGTCAACTCTCTGTTTTTTTATCTTAAGCAATAAAGAAAATCATGACAAATGCCTTTTGCGTTACAGCTGTCCTTATCTACGACAAATGTATAAGTGCGTTGTACTCTGACGCATCGTAAATCACAAAAATCCAATGTCTGTTGCTTTAAGCTCACTGATTTACAAGTAAGTATCTAACACCTAAGTGTAACATCTGTATATTTGTGTTACTCTCTAATGCTGGTCTATTTCTATTTTGAGATGTTTCTATTTTAGAATTGTTTATTTCTACTCTTTTAATTTTGTATTATGTGCAATGCCTTGTTTTGTTGTATGCTGCTGCAACAAAAACATTTCCCAAATTGGGATTAGTAAAGTACATCTTATTTTATCTTATCTTAAAAGGAACCATATGTGTATTTCACACACATTGTTCTGTGCTGGACTGCTTCTTGGCTTTGCACGGTAACTACTTGGAGTCGGGCTGCTGGCTGTCTTCCTCAGCAGGAGGAATTATAAGCATATTTCCCAAAATGTCCATTATGTTGCTTTCAAGTGACTTAAATGCAAAATAACATCAGCGCCACCACCCAGCAGGCAGGCTGACACCCAGCAGGCCGACAGAACAGAGGGACAGACACAAACAGCAGAAGACGAAGAGGAGGGAGGTACTTATAGAAAGTGTGGAGTTGTGATTACTTGCTCGAGGGGGCCAGGCAGCTCTTACATTGCAGAGGGAGTGCGTCCGGTGCCGAGGTGAATTGATGTCGCTGGGCGTCGATGAGCGGTCTCCATCGGCTGCCGAGGCGTCGGAGATGACAGAGGGCTGGCGAGAGTGGCAGGGGCTGATCCTGACCACAGCTAGATGTGCCACACACACATTTTTTCAAACATGTTGAGAAAAAACCCTGTTAGTATGGGAAATCTCCAGGAAAACCCTGTGTTAGTATGTTTAGTCTGTAAAAGCAACACCAAGCAGCAAGAAGAGGCAGAGTGTAGAGGAGAGCTCACCCTGTCTGTCTGTGCTGTGTCCGTGGTAGAGGGTCTGTTGACTCTGCCGAATGGCGGCCGTGAGCGGCAGGTCGGCCTGCATCACCCACTCCTGACTGCCGTTCACCACCGGCTCCATAGGGATGGCAACCGAGTGGCGCTTAGGTACGTCTTTCGTCAACGTTGCCAGAGACTGCTTTGCCTGGGAAACACAAGAAACAGAAACTAAGCATGAGATATACATGACATTTCTTATATTTTTTGTAGATTAAAAATGTAAGTCTATGCATCCAATTTGTCTTTCCTGGATAATAATAAAAATAACAATATTGTGAATTCCCAATAGAGCACCAAATGTGTTTTAATCCGCTGTTAAAAAATTGTTTCCAGCCAATAAATCATCTCCTCCTGGTTTGCCCGTTTCACTTGTCTATAAAGATTAAGGCATCCAACAGAAACAACTTGGCTTGAGGCTAAGAGCCACAGCAGGGAGGGAAATGGAAGGTGTTGAGAGATGGAGCGACACGTTATTGGTTTTGGTCTTTTCATGGGAATGTTGACAACAACAAAATATTGTACATTGAATAACAGCAGCTCTACCCTTTGAAGTTAGCCAACAGGCAATATTCTAATCCTACTTCATGTTTTTCTCAGGATTTCTTTTGTGAAAGCTTCTAAATAAAAGCATTCAGTGTCCATTGATTCAGTGGAAAAGGAAACATTTGTAAACAACAGGATTATTGTTAGGGAAAGAAGAAGTGAAGATGAGGGAACACAATAGAACAAAAGAGGAGAGAAGAGAAGAGTTGGTAGAAAAACATTGTGTGGTTCTGTTTCTTGACAGCGATGCAGCAATGATTTACCAACAAATGTGATCTGTGCTGCAGCTTGATGTGAGGATCTGTGGGTGGCTGTGACTCGTCGAGGGAGGAGAGAGATTAATGACACACAGACTGACAACTGTACCTCCGAGGGACAAACCGACACAGAAAAAGAGCCCGGAGAATAAATGCTTTGAGAAAGGGAGGATGATTGCAAACACCTTGTTTACATTCATGAACCAGATATTGAGGTTAAAGGGACATTTGTGTGCTTGAATTGTTAATTTAACCACGCTGTTACTGTGTCTATGTGAAGGTGACTCACCATGGTCAGCTCGGCCTCCAGTTCTTTGACCCTGTTCTCCTTCATGTCCATCTGAGAGCGCAGGATGTTGGCCTGCTCCGTGGCTTCTTTGGTCTGCCTCCTCAGGTCCCACTTCTCCCTCTCCAGCATGTCCTTCTCCTTTGCCAGGACTTTCACTGCGTCATCACTCTCCTGCAGAACAAGCACACACAGAGACACACTCAAATTTAAATAAGGGTTTTTAACTCATCATTTATTAATGATTGTCTTCATGTACGTAACATGTCACAGTAATACATTCCTCAATGAATACATATTTATAATTGAGCAACTTTGTTTGTCCTTCTTATTTATACATCTGCCTCTGCTTATGTGTGCCTACAGAAGAAGTGATGGTAGTCGTCAAATACATAAATAAATACATCTAATCACAAATACTCTAGAGTGTGTTATAAACTATTCATGAAACATGTATATAGCTTAAAAAGGTAAGTACTTTATTTGTAGGATAACTAATGTGATGGAGTGTTTCTTAATTCTTCTGCACTTATACACCTATAAAAAGTGTAAGCCTAAAATAATGAATGGAGTAGGCTGCTACCTTTCGATGTTGGTCGTAGTTGCGTATGAATTCTCGCAGCTGTTCTTCTCTGCTCTCCAGTGTTGTGTACAGCTGCTGCATCTGACTCATCAAGTCTGACTTCTCCACTTTTAGACGCTTCCGGTCACCTTTCATAGCTGCGACACACAACAATAATGCATTCACATCCTGTTAATCATGAAGCATTTTAACAAAACAATCTCACTGTCAAACTGAGGAAAACAAATAAATGTCAATGAGATTTTGCTCTTTGAAATCAGAAATAAAGTTTGGCAGATGCAGCAGGGAGCCACTAGATGGCCCTGTGTCTTCTGTGAATGAGAACGATGGGTTGTTTTTCAGAGAAATATGTAATCACTTCAAAGATACTGTAGGTGGTACATTAGCACTTATTAATTCATACATTGAACTGTTCTGGCTGTCATGTGAAGACTCTTTCCAGAGAAGACCAATTGGATCAGATTGCTTTCAACTTATTGCAGAGAAAACTCAACAGCTATGATGCAACTGCTGCAAGCAAAACTCTGACAGTTTGTACTCAATGTAGAGGGAAGACTTGAACCTGTACTTTCATAGCTGAACACATGTGTCATTCAGGAGGCATTCCTCAAGACAACGTTCATAATTTGCACTTGACATTCAAACCTGTTTTGCAGCAGTTACACAACTCAGTTTACGAGTTTGAAGATTACCACCTGCAACTCAGAGCAGCGGAGAAATATGCTAAACAGGAGCTGTAAACTAAATCAACCACTGAGTTTCAATCCTAACTTGTATTTTTGTGGCAGGTAATTATCCTTAATGTAGGACTGATTTATTTTACTCCCCTCCCGACAGAGAAATGTTGGGTATCGTTATGGTCGGATTTGTTTTTCATACAAGAAATAAAAACAATCCAATACAACACAATCAGCGCCACATTCCAATCCACATCGATACCACATTAATATTTCAGAGTAAAGCCTCTATTGCATGATTGATGGATGTTCATTCAAATTAGGTGAACCTGGAGTCTACTTGGCTGCTCATCAGGGGCGACACCCATCTCTGAGACTGAACAATGTCGAAACACAGGAACACACACAGTATCTCTGGTGAAGCCGCACAAAACCAATGAGATCCAAACATGAAGGATCAGGTTTCTCTTCTGTTGCCACTTGAGTAAACACATTTCTAAACTTTGGCACTTACAAGACACAACTGGCTGAGAGATTCACCCTAAAACTTATTTAAAAATACATTTTCCCACAGTCCAGAGGTTTTCTGGTAAGACTTTTCTTCTTGTTTGCTAAAGTTAAGAAAAGTGAGCGGACTGAAGCACAATTGTGTGTACATAGCGGGAAATTGTGTGTTAGAGAGAACGGTTTTATTTATTTTATGTAAGCATAGCAAATATCTTGATGTGCTAATACCACTGGTATTTTGCTACTCAATCCTAAAACTGGAAGCTAGTCAGAAGAATTTGCACTATATATAGTACATAATTATGTTGATCTTAAAATGTGTTAAAATATCTTCATTAAATTATTATATTTTGTTTGTTTCACATGAATTAAAGAACATCTGTTGCTCCAATGAGAACAAGATACTTAAAAAAAAGAATTCTGATCTTGTTAACTTTTGGGCAAACTGGGTTGAATGAAGCTGACTTATTGGACATATTTGCATCGATTGTTTGGCATCTTTAATATCAAGAAATGTAGCATAACAGTGAGAATGTATACAATTCATTATGAAACATTTAAGTTAGGTAGTTAGTGGGAACACCTAGGAGATGGTTAACAAAAAGTTTTACATCAGGATAAACCTAAGGGTTTTCCTACTTTTCACTATTTGGCAAATAATTAATTAGACTGATGATGATTTTATTTAATTGTGTTATAATTTTCACAATATGTTTCTTCTGGTTTTACACAGTAAATATAACGTATACGGTTTACGTATTTAAATGTTTTAAATAGCTTTTGTTCATTGAATATTGTTACCATGACTGATTTTCTTTTGTTAGACAAAGTGGATTTCATGGCATTACAACATATGCTGGCTTGATGGAACTCAAGTAAGGCTAACACTCCAAACTGAAAGCTTTGGCAGCTGTGTACAGGGCCGGCTCTAGACAATTTGCAGCCCTAGGCGAGATTTTAGCTGGCGCCCCAGTTAGAGAATCGTACAATAGAAAATATAAAGATCAATAGAGTATCCAAGGAATACACAATAGAATGGGGGGTGGACGTCACATCCTCTAGATTTTTTTGAACATTTTAAAGTAAAATGCTTCAATCTGGTGTACTTTGAGCATAATTACTACTAGATCTAGGGGGTACAACTCTAAACACCCATATGAAAAAGATCGGTTTACATTTTATTAATCAAATAAGTATGTGAACATAACCAATAACCTACCATAGCCAATAACAAATAAATGTAACTTATTTTTTTGTTGTTGTTCATTTATATCTTATTTACGGAGCCCTGGAGGGTTCATAGAGAGAAAAATATATAAAACGTGGCCACATTTTACTTTCTCGTTCGCACGAGATACCTTCGCGTGCGAACGCTTTAGTAACTCGTGCGCACGAGTTACTAAAGCGTGTGCACGAGTTAATAAAGCGTGGCCTCGTTTTGTGTGTGTGTGTGTGTGTGTGTGGGCATTTGTTTATGATAGTATTGTTCGTTCCGGTGCACTCCGGCAGGACTATAGCACATCGAGATAAAGATTAAACAAATTTCTTTCACTTGGGAATACACATACTGTATAACTATGGAGAACCAGATTTGTGTAAATTACTGTACGTGGTCATTTGAAAACAAATGCCGGTGGTGTCGGACACACACAAACACACCGAACACGCACACAGAGAGCGGAGCTGAGCACACACACACACACACACACACACACACACACACACACACACACACACACACACACACACACACACACACACACAC